GTCTTTTTAAAAATAGCAAGGAGAAATAAAAAATTGATAATGTCGAATTTCCAAGCTTTCGTAGATATTGATTTATCTGGAAAACTATTGATCTCAGGAAGGAATACTAGAGGACTTTTTTGGAGCTCATTGAACTCCCGAGAGAAAATGTCTTTTCATTATTTCTCCTGTAATGAATATTTTCCGAGATAAATCGACGTTTCAACCGCGAAATTTCAACCGATTTTCTCACATCGCAGGTTTTGACTAATCGAGAGTTCTAAAAATAAATAAAAATCTAGAAAGCGCTTCTATTAATTAAACAATTATACATCAGGATTATTATTATCAATTATAAATAATAATCAATGTTTCCACGTTGATCAACTCAATTTCTTTAGCAAAACAAAAAAAATCTGTTTCTCGATTGATGCAAAAAAATCTGTAAAACTATCAATACCACAAAGAAACACTACAATCTTTTTTGTAGTTAATTAAATTCCCCCCAAAGAACATGTTTGTCACTTCCCCCTAAACCCCAAAATTCCCGACATAAATCGATATTAAAACACCAGCTGCAGCTTAAATCGTCACCGGTCAAGATCGAGAGTTCCAAGAACAAATAATTCGATTCAAAAACTCCATTTTCTCTCTGCACGTGATGAATTTTTATAAAATTATTGAAAAAAAAAACTCACTGTTAAAAACCAGCAATTTTCGTGTCGAACCGAGTCGTTTGATGGTCGACTTAACCCCGTCGATCTCGTGCTCCTCATCCATCTCTCGATTTTCTCACCGACACACTTTTCACTCAAAAAAAAAGAAATAAAAATAGAACCAATAAAAAAAAACCTCCACTTCCACCCCGCAATCACTGTCGAATCGTGTCGGTATTCATGAAATTCCGTCAGCCCGCGAAAACCGGTTTTCCAAGCCGATATATTCGAGATATCGTTTTGAAAAGTCGAGACGATCGACTCACTTCACTGGTCCCGGGCGCACTGATTTTTCCGGTGTGAAAAATCGTGAGTCAAACCTCGTGTGCCCCCTCTAGAGTACTCACTCCACCCCCTCCACTGGCGTCGATGGATTATTTATTTATTTATTTACGTTTTTTTTTTTGGCAGAAAATAGTGGACGATTTGACGGGAGACGCCGAGTGTAATTCAATGAGTTTTGCTTTGGCTGTGGAGAAGCTCTGAAAATCATAGGCGGTGGCCCCCAAAGAGGGGGAGAAAAGATATTCTTGGATCGCGGGTATATTAATTCAACATGTTGGGGGTCTGTTGGGGGCAAAGAGGATTGGCTAAAGTAGAGACTCAGGTCTGGGGGTTTGAA